TGTGGACCACACCTGCAGTGTTTTTGAATGCTTTTGTGGCTGAACACAGTGAGATGAGCCCTGTGGAATGAATGCCAGTACCGTAGTAGGCCCTCGCAGGTCGGAGCTCTAGGGACTGTCTTCTCCAGTGAAAGGTTGATACTTTTTCATCCTTGAGTCTGCAGTGAATGTCATCTTGCTGATTCTTTTGATGCCCTCGAGGGTTTTGTTGTTGTTGTTTTGTTTTGTTTTGTTTTGTTTTTGTGGAACCAGGGATTGAACTCAAGCCCTTGCGCTTGCCAGGGAAGCTCATGTTTGTTCTTGTACCACAAAATACAGCGGTACTTCAGTTTACAAACTTAATTTGTGTTGTGATTTGGGGGAAGATGACTGTATTTGTGTGGGGAAGATGGCCCTGGTCATATTTGTCACCCAGTGTGGAGATGCATAATTTGCAAATGGAGGCAAAATTTTGCCAAATGTTTCTGTTCGTGAACTGAATCGTTTGCAGACAGATGTTAGTGAACTGAGCTACTGCTGTATTGTTTGTGTGTTTATTAGTTGTACTAATCTTAACAGTCACACGTTATTTGGTCCCAGTTTTTCACATAGGTTCTTTTAGGCCAAAGTATAAATGTTTCAGATTTTTCTGCTCTGCTTTTTGCTTCCACTTTTTATATAAATCTGGTTAAAAGCAGCCATCAGTACATATGCCACAGCCTGAATTTTGGACTGTGTTATAATTTCCTCCACCAAATTAGTCTTCTACTCTTAATCTCAGTCTCCTGCAAAGTCTCAGGTTATGAGCAAAATGTATGTAAACTTTTTTTTTTTTTTTTTTTTTTTTTTTGCCAGTGTGACACACATGGCTTCTAGTCCAAATGCCACTGAATCATGGTTTCTATCTAAAACCTCCTGAATCTCAATACATTTCTATCAGCATTCTACTCTTTGGGGCTCCAAGTACTATCATACGTCAAGCCTGCTTACTACATTCTAAGGTTTATGTAGCACTCATCTCCAAAGCTTCATTTGTTCCCATCAGCTTGAACCATCAGTGGTACATGCATGACTGCCCCATCATTCAGCTTGTGTCGCACAGTGGGATTGTTCTGCGCAGCCCCAGTGTGAGTTATGCATGTGCCACTGGTATTTCAGAGCTGCCTGGCCCTACTGTGAATATGTTATATAGATTATGGCCCTACTGTGAACATGTTAAATATAGTCACTCTGGGTACCATACCAATTTTCTTTTCTT